TAAGTTTTTGTGTTTTCGTCTGTTTTTCTTAAACTATAAGCAATAGGTCAACTATATTTGTTGTATGGAAGAATTGTTAGCTGTACATGCCTGCCTAGCATGGTTCATCTGACCTTGACCTCATTTTCATGGTTCATTGGTCAATGTTTAGTTTACTTGGTTAATGTTAAGTTTATGTGACAGTTGTAATAAAGCTTTATATTTAGGACTATCAACATAATATCAATGATTAGTAAAGAAGGCGAGACATTTCAGCGTGTGCACTCTTGTCTATCTTTATTCAGTGATTAAAATTGATAAAATTTAGCTTGCCGAACCCCAACTTTGAAAATCATAAGCGTATGCCCCACCCCCTTTTGTTTGGAAAATATATATCATTTTTTACATCAGATTAAATTCTCAAGTTTTGGGAGTTCAAACATATTCTGGCTTGCTTATATTATTTTTTAATGAGAGTTTTTGTGTGAACCCCCTGATGTTCACGCCTATATATTGGCGAGTTTTGGAAGCTTCTATGGGAAACAAGATTCTCGGAAGTCTCGAAAATTTTTGATCATTTATACAGGTAGTTATCTATGTCTTTGATATGGTCCCTCTATTGATATGTTACCACGTGACATTTTATTAATATTTCGACAACCAAATTAAAGTTCATTTGTAGATCGGAAAATAAAAAATTAAAGAATAGATTGCAGTAAGAAAGTCATTTATATATTACAACCTATTTGCTTTTGACAGCATATGCGTTTTTATTTGAAAGTGTATATAATTCATGTTTTGAGACGGTCCCTGTACGCATTGTTTGTGTAGTATTTAATACAACGTGCTATTGTCCATTGTGACAATACACCATGTACACATGGGAATAATATACTAACATTAAATTATGTCCCAGAATAAACTGATTATTTCTGAACGTTTAACATGTCATATTTGTAATTCCACCATAGCCTGAGCAAATGTCGGAATACAAGAAGAAAATGAACAAAACTATATTACTGTTAAGAATATTTATGTTAGGTCGGAAAACAGAAAGATAATTAAACAAAACGATATTGTGTCTAAAATAGTTATTTTCATTAATAGATACTAACAGACCAAGGGAACATTCATTAAAATTAATAAAGTTTAAAATGAAACTAAATTTATCATTAATAGAATATCAAATGCAACATATGAGTACCAATTATCATGATTATCATGAATTAACACAAATAAATTAGTATCTAATGTTACTGTAGAGAATGAAAAAAATAGTTGCATGGTTATAATTCACAAAAATTTTGAATCCTTGCATTTCATAATAAACGTAATTAATATTTTACAAAAATCATGATTACTACGTATACGTTACTACATGTAATTTTATACCGTTTACATATGGTTTGATAAGTCTCTGCTTATATTTTGTATAGGAATAAAATAGAAAGTTAGACTTGAAGAAGATATTGTTTGATAAAAAAAATTGCCATTTTAGTAAATACTTGACCTTTGTGTTTATTGATAGTATATTTCAAATTTCTGGAAAAGATTTATTAACAGTTAGGAATGTATGTTAATTGAATTTAATTCTTTTTTTGTTTGTTTTTAATAGTTCAAACTTATAGCATTTAAATCTTTGCAATGATTGTGCGATTTTGAAAATTGTATGCATTGTGTTGACCAGCTACCCTACAAACGTCTTGCTGTTTATTAGTCCCCTACCGACAAAGTCGAAGGGGACTTTAGGTTTGCACTCTGTCCGTCTGTCTTTCTGTCCATCCGTCTGTCCATCCGTCAGTCCGGCAACTCAGCTTTCCACACTTTTTTTCTTCGTTCTTTAAGATATTGATTTGATATTTGGTATATAGTTTTATCATGACAAGTTATAGATCAAGTTTGAATTTTGTTCCGGTCTGATGATTTAGTCCAGAGTTATGGTCCATAAAAAAACACCTTAACTAATGTTAGAGTACTATGTGAAACCATATAATCTGTACAAAGGGAGATAACTCATTTTTTAAAAGACATTCTTTGGTAAATTGTTTGAGGAATTTTGTGTCAGGTTTATGTTATTTTGTATAAACTAATTTTCTGAATGCTACATATGTATATATATTTTTTTTATTAAGTGAAATCCTTTAATTAGATGATAATCTATTTTTATTAAGGTATATATTTCATTACATTACATTGTGTAGATAAAAGTTGTTGACATTTTATAGATAAGTTACAAATCTATATTAGTTTGTGACAAATGAAAGAAAAAATATTTGGAACTATTAATTATATTTGATTGTAATTTGAAAATAGATATACATTGTATTACATCATATCTAATTTTAGAGAACTATTAATCATATCTAATGTTAGAGTGTTATAGGTTTTCCACACTTTTTTTCATCATGCTTGAAGATATTGATTGATAATTGGTATATAGTTTTATCATGACAAGTTACAGATCAAGTTCAAATTTTTGTTTCGGTCTGATAATTTTGTGCAGAGTTATGGTCCTTGGACTTTAAAAAATTCACTCATATATTCAGTTTTCCACACTGTTTTTAGTCATGCTTGAAGATATTGACTTGATATTTTATTTTTGTTAACACCATGACAAGTTATAGAACAAGTTAACATTTTGTTCCAGTATAATGAATTTTTACCCGGTAGGGGACTATGTATTGCCATGCAATACTCTCAGGATGCTTGTTTACATAATATTACTTATTATTACACCCTGTTCACACGCCTGTTCACACGACATAATAAAATCGGATTTAAAATCTGGTTTGACAATATTGGTTTGCTTTGACACAAATTCTGGATTTAATGGAAGAGAATCCTGCGTCAACCACTTGAGGTAGGCAGCTTGACACCCGAATTCAACTAACATTAAATTTGAACCTAGAATAAATATACGTGATTGCTTTTCTTTTTTTAAAGAAAGCAACTTGTTTTTATACCACCGCAAAAATTTTTGCGGTCGTATATAGGTATGACTTTGGTGTCGTCTGAAGACACATTGGTTTTCGCTCAATAACTTTAGTTTAAGTGAATGGATCTCTATGAAATTATACCATAAGGTTCAATACCACAAAAGGAAGGTTGGGATTGATTTTGGGGGTTATGGTACCAACAGTTAAAGAAAAAGGGGCCAAAAATAAGCATTTTTGTAACTTCCAGACAATAACTTGTGTGTTAGTGTATGGGGTTAAAATGTTCATCAGGTCAACATGACCAAAATTGTCAATTGACCCCTTAAGGAGTTATTGCCCTTTAAAGTCCGTTTTTCACTATTTTTCGTAAATTATTTTAATCTTTTACAAAAATATTCTCCTCTTAATCTACTTGCCCAAATGGAATTAAACTTAGCCACAATTATTATTAGAGTATATTGATTGAAAAATGTATCTGATGACCCTGCTCTACAACCAACATGGTCCCCATTGGTAAAAATAGAACATAGGGGTTTACTATAGAAGTCTACGGGAAAAATGTAAAAAAACAATTTCAAATGGTCACAACTTGAAAACTAATTTAAACAATGATAAGGTATTGTAAGACTACAATGGGATGACTTGATTTTTTTTCCAGGGGGTATAATTTTTTCAGGGGGGCTAATAATTTCTCCTTGATATGATCCATTTTCAGAATTATTCAGTGTTACTTTTTCTATAAACCATTATATCTTTTCTTTCAGCATAAGTTATTTTCTGCAATTTATTGGTAATTTTTGTGAATCTTTTTCAAAAATCTTCTGCTTTTAATTTAACTACTGGGCCAAATTAAACCAAACTTGGCCTCAATCATTATTGGGGTATCTATATGATTTTAACCTTATTTTAAATGATTTCCAAAACCACAGAAGATACAGGTGAGCGACACAGGCTCTTGAGAGCCTCTAGTTTACTTATATTAGTAAAATACATCTGAACATGCTGAATGTCTAAGAGATATAACTCTACCTTCAAAATAGTTTACCTGTACCAGTAAAAAAAAAAACATTTGTATAAGTATAACCCCATCACAACACATTACCTCTGAAAATCATGCAAGGATAATAAAATAAACATTGTTAAATGTCGCATGATAAAAGAATTGAGGCTGGGAGGAAGTGATTTTATATGCCCCCGCCGTAGCGGAGGAGGCATTAAGTTTTACCCTTGTCCATCCGTACATCCCAAAATTGGTTTCCATTCTCTTACTTTAGTTTGCCTCTATCAAATGTTATGAAACTTATACACAATGCTTATTACCACAAAACACAGATCAAGTTTTACAGTTCTGGAATTATGTCCCTTTATTAAGTGAAATGCAAGCTGGGGCATCATCTGTGTCCCATGGACACATTCCCCATTTATTTTTTTTCAATTTATATTTTTTTTCACCAGGAGTCTAATTTTGACATAATATGACTCTAATAGAGAATAAAAGGAATGGTGCGATAAGTTAGGGTAAGGGGTGGTTAAAAATAAGGTTTGTAAGGCGATAATTGTATCTGAAATTTAATCTTTCAAACATACTTCAGGTACATGATTATTGAATTGAAACAGTTTGTTAGTGGCTAAGAGTAAATAAGAAAATAATGAGTTATACTGCCTCCTTTGAGCCTCTTATTTGTAAAAATTAAAATAAGGTTTTAAAGAATGAACTGCATTTCAGTATAGATGTCCAGTCTTAAAGTGGATGTTATGTCTGGTGCCACAATCTCTGCTTGTTAAAGAACCCTTGCAACAACTCTTGAGTTATCTATTGGTGGCCTGCTGATTGGAGAAATTTCTTCCACTATCCATTTTAAAACTATAATTTCCCGCTCTTCATTGAGGTCACCCTTACTACTGTATTATTTGATGATTTGTTCTCATCCTTAATATGCATGAATTATTTGCCACTGGATGTTAAGAAAGCAACAGTCTATCTAGTAATTCAAGAAAGCATGGGAAGAAGAATAAATAAAGCATTGAGAAGGGTTTGAAAAAAAGAAATTAAAAGAAAGATATTTATGAGTTCCATTTTTTCAGGTGGAAGGTGCTTTAAGATGAAATGCACAAATGAATCCTGTGGAGGCGAGTTTCCTGCAGGAGCAAGATTCTGTACAGGATGTGGTATGGAAGTACAGACAACAGTTCCTGTTAAGTCAACACTATGTCCGTCTTGTAATAACATTGTTATGGAAGGATACAAATTCTGTTACAGCTGTGGAGTGAAAATTGACCCTGCACTATTTATAAACAGAGTTTGCTCTGGTACTAAAGATGATGGACAGAAATGTAACACAGTGTTGACTTTTGGTTCCAGGTTTTGTCAGTCTTGTGGTACACCTCAAGACACACCTAATACTAGCAGTAAGTTTAGAACTTCACTGGTTATGGGGCCAAGTTTTATACTACCGGTTTTAACAAAATTTTATCAGACAATTATTAACATGATTAAAAAAAAGTTGTTTCTCTTTTTTTCCCCTCACTCAGCCCTTACGAAATTATAAGGTGTATTACGCCTGGAAATCTGGCGTAAACCAGGCGTAAGTGGTAGTTACGTGTCCAGATCCAGGCGTAATGGAGCAGGAAACGTAAATTTGTAGCACTTACAGGCGTAGAAAAAAGTGGTAAACCTGGCGTAAATTGAAATTAGCAAGGCGTAAATTTTCCTACGGGTGTAAAACTGTTGGAAGGGCGTAAATCATAATACCCATAATGCTTTGTTAAAAGGATCATGGGAATTTTTTTCAAAATTTGGCTCTCTGGTATTAGCTTGCAAGAGTTGGACATATGGCAGCTTGATATATTCAGTCAGGGGACTTACTTAAATGAGTGATTTTCTAAATCACTGATTCAAGTAACATTATGTCCATAAAGGTTGGAAGTAAGAGTTGTCTTTTCTTTAATAATCACCTATTTAAGTAGTACAAATTAATCACTAGACTAAGTGATTTAATTTTATTGTAGCTTTAAATATAGAATACTAATGATCCAGGGATTAATTATGTTGCTAAAATTATCAGAACCAACATCTGTGTTGATAGGATGATCGGGTCATGTCAGGTGATAACCTTGTACTAAATCTAGGATAATGACATAAAAATCACTTGTTTAAGTATCATACCTCAAATTCCTTCCAAAAAATCACTTCTTTAAGTATCATTATTTTAATAACCCCCACTAATTTCAACACCCCCGAACAGTGAAATTTTGATCGCGAACAGTAGAATTTTATTACATAATCTATAAGATGAAACCTTGAATTTTACAGGAAAAATACTCCCACTGCTGGGAAAAATCTGTTAAGAAAGTATCAGTTCATTTTGTAAAGCCATTTTTATAGCATTTTTTCAACTAAAATAGAATTTCAGCTAAATGATTGCATCAAAGGCATAAACCTTGCTGCTTAAAAGAAGCAAAAAGTTCATTTTTTTCAATTTTACTAATGAAAAGATATTATCTAAACCTATTTGTTTAAAATTTTGGTAAAACTACAAAATCACAATTTGTGACAAAACTTCGAATTTACTACTTAAATAAGTGATTTAAAAATCACTTATTTCAATAAGTCCCCTGACTGATATTCAGGGGAAATTTGCTTTTTTGGTGCTTTTTTGAAGAATTTGAAATTGGAATTATCATGATTATGGAGTCAAATTGATGAATGAAAATTGTGAAATGAAAGGAAAGTAGTATACTGTGGTAAATAATAATTATGTGAGTAACTAAGTTATGAAGTTTTTATTTTCAACATTAATTTCTGGAATTCTGGAAACCCTCATCCTTGGATAATAACATTTAAATCTTTCACAAGTTAAATTGCAGTATTATCATTGATTTTTTAGTTCAAATGACATTAATTTTCAAAACAACTTAGCCAAATGCTAGTTTTATTTCAAGAAAAATTAATTATCATAATTCTTATTTAAACTTAAACTTTTTTGAGCCAGTGTCTGTCTTATATATATGTATTTATTTATAAAGCTTCTTCAGTGGTTAATATTTCAAGTTTTATGTCAAACAATGAGAAATTAAAGCAACAGTACAAGTTTGTATCAAATACACAAAGTACACAGCTAGGGATATACACTGATTTAAATTATATGTAGTATTATGTAAGGATATTATGCCTGGTTTATTTTTATTGACCAGGCGTACTCATTTGCATAGTACGCCTGGTTTTCAGTCTACCAGGTGTACTCATTTTAATATAACGCCTAATTTTAGGCCTGGTTTCCGCCTCAGTTACTCTTGGTTTACGCCTGGTTGACGTCTGGACATGCATTCCTTAAACACTGCAATGACGCCAGGATAAAGTATGATTTCTACGCCTGGTTTCCGTGTCATTTACAGGCGTCACATTTCGTACAGGTGGTTAATACATGTTTGTACTGTTCAGACAAGCATTTTAATATTCTGTACCACCATTTACCCCAAGAGTTACATCTTCCCTGAATATTGTTATTTGTTTTGAGAGTTATTCGCTTAAGCAATTAAAAACTTTAATGATACATTTCTAATCTTTGAAATGTGTTAATTTGATTAGATCTCTCTAATAAAGTTGGGAAGTTTTTTTGCTTCATTTCTTTTTAATATTATTCTTTTTCATTTATTTCAGGTAAATTTAATTTACCAGGAGATGCACCATTAAAACTAAGTTTACAAATTTCTCATCAGAAGGAAGGCAACCTAGAAAGAACTACCCCCACTGTTGAGGAAGAACATCCCAGTTCAGGATCTAGCAGCCCTGATTTATGGGAAGTTCCAACCATCACACTGGACTCTAAAGATAATCAAACCAAACCTGTAAAAGGTTAGTTATAAATATGGAGGTCAGTTCTACATATAACAAGAGTGCATATGCTGAAATGTCTCGCCTTCTTTACTAATCATTGATATTATGTTGATAGTTTTAAATATAAAGCTTTACTACAACTATCACATGATCCAAGAAAATGAGGTCAAGGTCAGAAGACACCTGCCAGCTAGACATGTACACCTTACAATCATTCCATACACCAAATATAGTAGACCTATTGCATACAGTATAAGAAAAACAGACCAAAACACAAAAACTTAACTATAACCACTGAACCATGAAGATGAAGTCAAGGTCAGATGACACCTGCCAGTTGGACATGTACACCTTACAGTCCTTCCATACACCGAATATGCTAGACCTATTGCTTCTAGTATCTGAGATATGGACTTGACCACCAAAACTTAACCTTGTTCACTGATCCATGAAATGAGGTCGAGGTCAAGTGAAAACTGTATGACGGGCATGAGGACCTTGCAAGGTACGCACATACCAAATATAGTTATCCTATTACTCATTATTAGAGAGAAATTAACATTACAAAAAATCTTAACTTTTTTTTCAAGTAGTTAATGAACCATGAAAATGTATCAGATACTATAAGCAATAGGTCTTCTATATTTGGTGTATGGAATGATTGTAAGGTGTACATGTCCAACTGGTAGGTGTCATCTGACCTTGACCTCATTTTCATGGTTCAGTGGTTAAAATTAAGTTTTTGTGTTTTGGTCTTTTTTTCTAATACTATATGCAATAGGTCAACTATATTTGGTGTAAGGAAATATTTTACAATGTACATGTCAGTCTGGCAGGTTTTATTTGACCTTGACCTCATTTTCACGGTTTATTGCTCAGTGTTTGGTTTTTGCGTTTTGGTCTGTTTTTCTTAAACTATAATTAACCAATAGGTCAACTATATTTGTTGTATGGAATGATTGTAAGGTGCATATGTCTGTCTGGCAGATATCATCTGACCTTGACCTAATTTTCATGGTTCATTGGTCAATGTTAAGTTTTCATGGTTAAGTTTGTTTCTTAGATACTATAAGCAATAGGTCAACTATATTTAATGCATAGATTGATTGTAAGGTGTACATGTCTGTCTGGCATGGTTCATCTGACCTTGATCTTATTTTCATGGTTCATTGGTCAATGTTAAGTTTTCCTGTTTAAGTCTGTTTCTTAGAAACAATAAGCAATAGGTCAACTATATTTGATGTATTGAATGATTGTAAGGTGTACATGTATTTCCGGTTTGGTTTATCTGACCTTGATCTCATTTTCTTGGATCATGTTAAGTTTATGTGATACTTTTAGTAAAGCTTTATATTTAGGACTATCAACATAAAATCAATGGTCAGTAAAGAAGGCGAGACATTTCAGCGTGTGCACTCTTGTTGTTATTAAAAAAATAGTATAAAAAAATAATGTACCAATATTCTTTGTATATTTTATAGGAAATTTGACTTTACAATATGTTTTTTCTAGCTTATGCTAACACTTTGTGTCTGTTGTCCATGCCTCTGAGTCCCTCGTCTGTGGTCTCTAAACTTTTCTTTAAAAATTTTCTCCTCTGAAACAATGGATTGTAATCAAAGTTTGTCTGCTTCATCATGTATAAAGTTTGTAATTTCCGTCCAGATTGATCAACCAACATGGCCTCCTTGTTTTAAAAAATAGAACATAGGGTTCAAACTACAGTTTCAACTAATATATTATAGAATATAGCTATTAGAGAAAAACTGGCTGGATGAAAATGGTCAGCACAACAAATTCTATCTATCTTGAAAAGTTCAGAAAAATCTGTCCACTTGTTTTTGAAGTTATTGACCTTAAAATGTTGATTGTTAACTCTTTTGGCATTTCCTGTCATTGTTTCATAACCTTTGGAAGCGAGGTTAACAGTGTAAAATGCAAAAAAAAAAAGATCAGTATGATAAGATGTATCTGCCATAAAAATTGGAGAAAAATCTTGTTTTGGAGTTATATGCCCTGAAAAATAGTTTTTCCAACTTTTTGCATTTATTGGCTATTAGTGAAAAAACTTAAGGAGATAGTTTTAAAAGTGTAAATAGCATAAAGGTCACAACAAGATGTTTCTATCCTGAAAATTAGAGACAAATCTGACAACCTGTTTTGGAGTTATTGTTCTTGGAATGATCAAATTTGCTGTTTTCAGATTACCTGACCTAAATGTACAAATTGCCAAAGAATGCCCATATGCACCCCAACAACGTAAAAAAAAACATTTTGAGGTAGAAATAGCAACTAATTAAATTACAATATGGTTATAAAAGCAAAAACCTGTAGGACTTTAAGCTAGAGATTGTTTTTCTTTTTTTATAGAAATTTTACAGCAGGATGATAGCCAAATAAATCTCCCTAAGATTGAACCCAGCAATAATAGTACAATTACTTCTACAAATGACCAAGATGTGAAGAGTATAGAAACTGGACAAGACTGCTCCTCAAAAATAGACAATGAGGGTTTGGAGATAACAGATCTACAGAGTGATGAAGCACAAGAAAGTCGACAAACTGTTCCAGTAGACATGGAGAGTCCACGGCTTACAGATCAACAGACTGGTGAGCTGCAGAACAGTAGTCCCACTGGTCCAGTCGACAAGGAAGGTCTAGAGGTGACAGATCAACGACATGTTATTGGCAAGCAACAAGGCAATGAACTGACTGGTCCAGATGACATGGAAGGTTTAGGGCATACAGAGCAACAGACTGGTGAGCCAAAATGCAGTGAGTGTTCTAGTCCAGTAGACAAGGAAGGTCAAGGGCTGAGAGATCATCAGAGTGGTGGATCACAAAGCAATCACCATGCTGGTCCAGAAGACAAGACGAACCTAAATCTGTCAGATAAAAAAGCAATTGAAACAGAAGGCAGTGGACTTTCTGGTCCAGTAGACAAGGGAGGTCCAGGGCTGATAGATCAAAAGTACATTCCACCAGGTACTGGACTTTGATAGAATGACAAAGGATAGTATCATGAATGAATTATGAATAGATATAGATATAATATTTTCCCCAATTAATTTTTTCTCTCATCTGGACTGCCTTTAGCAGCCTGTGTGAGTTATAAAGGGCCTTGTAAACTATTTTCCTTTATTTTTTTCTTAAGTTAGTAGTCATATTACATAACCACTAGAAGGACATTTTAACTGTTAACTATGAATTTAAAAGTATAACATGTGTATAAGTCACTGTGAATCAATTTAAATATTAGTAGAATATTTTTAAAATTGGTTCATGTAACTGGAGAGGCTATAGGAAATACATTTACACGGAATTTGTTTTTTGAAAGTTTCGATTCCAGTTGAAACAAAGTATGACTTGATTATTCCTTTTAAGGAAATGACTGAGAACAATGTACTTAAAAAATATTACCATTAAAACATGTCTGCAGAGTATGTCTGCAGAGTGATCTTTACCAGCTGATGTGAGTGTCCAGATAGTTATATCCCTAAAAATATATATACATGTTTTTGTTAACAGCTATTTTCATAAATTTCCCTTTGATCTTTGTGTGATGATTTCCCATCTGAATCTTCTTTACTGAGAATGCTTTTCTGTTCCAGTAGAGTGAGAACACAACGATGTTATAAGTCAATGTCATTGACCTTGACCAGTAATAACAGGGTTAAACAGATTATTTTTTTATGGTCTTCAAACTTCAGGAAGTTTTTCCGCTACATCTCATATCAGGGCTATAGCTCTTTGATGACTTTGTAGCCAAGAAACATGTTTTCAAAACCATAGATAATCTACAAAAAGAAAAAGTTTTATCGGTAGTATATAGGAAAAAATTTCTTATTCTGATTTTTTGTGTGCTGTAAGATATTTCCTTGAACTTATGTGTTTTCTTCCATTAGTTTTATTATAAATTTAAAACTTAAGATAAATTAATGTTACTGAAATGTACATAAGATTATCTTATTTTAGCTGAAAGTATTTTGAGTGACAGTGAAAAACTAGCAGTGAAAAAAGAAGCATCTACATCAGAGGCAGAGAATTCTAAAGATGCTAAGGAGAAGGAGTCAGCTGAGGGAATGGATGCTTCAGAAACAAAACATGATAAAAATGAACCAATACAAGCAGGTAAAATATACAGAACTTGTTTACTTCCACTAATACAAAGTTATGTGGTCTTAAGGATGTTTGCTCCTCTTGTTTTTGAATTTTTGCCAGATATTCGGAATCCTCAGGTTTTATCCATGTAGTGCCATTAAAAATTTTGCCCACTAACCCCTACTTTTCACTCCATAATTTAATTACATATAGTTGAAAATGTCATCTTTGAAAATCTTATAAAATCCTTGTTATTTTTTCATCATTTTTGAAAGAAAAAAGGTGCCAATGTTAAATGTATGCAAAATCTAGAGAGAATTATTTCCCGCCAAATCTTCAATGGCTTGTATCTCGAAAACAAGCACACTGACCCTTCATTTTTTTCTGCTTTTTTAGTTTCTTTATTTATATACTATCAACTTATAACAGTCTTTTAAAAAGCTTGTTATTTTAAAATAGAGTAGCGAACATCCTTAATGTAATATTGGTGTGTTACGTTAGCTGGTAGCATTATATACATCCTTATATGATTCTTTGTTCAATTTGTATTTCATTCATATTCTTTTATCAATTTACATTTTTTTAAGGATGGTGATTTAAAACATGATAAAACAAGGGAAGTAACCCGAAATTTCTTTTGATTGTTTTCAAATACACAAAAGTTTTTATTACACAACTGCATGTAGCCTGAAGTAAAAATCGTTGATTGATACTATGTTTGACACCCAAGCTGTCAAGTGAAGCTATAAAATTATACAAGTTCTTTGATTTACAGGTAAAAATTACCTTAATCAGTGACACAAAAACGTAATTAATGTTTACATCGATGGTAATAAAAAATTAAGAGACTAACAAATTTTTTGGGGTTGAAATCTTGGAAAAAAACGGAAGATTTGAATTATTTACGGGAGGGACGGAAGAGGGCTTAAAAATCGGGAATTGTGGCTCCCGCCGGAAGAATCACATGTCTGTTACAGAGGATTTATTCTCAGGATTTCTTTTTAATGTTACTTTACTAGATTTGTGTTACTAGAATTGTTCTGAAGGTTTGGATTTTAACTATTATCCATTTAACCTGTTTATGTCCATTTCATGAAATATATTCATAGCATATTTCTCAGGAACTAACAATTCAGACTTCCTGAAATTTGGTAGCAAGTAATGCATTTTCACATTCATCACACTTCAATGTCCTGTTCAAGAATACTTCTATATTCTTAAGCATAATGGCTTAATAATGTACATGATGTATGAACTATTTTGTTGCATTTTTCCAAGGAACTATGAATCAGAGCTTCCTGAAATTTGGTAACATGGTATACCACCATGTGATGCACTTTAACATTCACTATTCATCAACTTCCTGTTTACTGAATACTCGAACAAGTGGGGTTATCATTTATAAATTTAGAGAGAGCAATAATTCATAGTTCAACCAGTTATTCTTAATTCTCATCTTGAGCAAAATATCACATGAAATTATTTTTTTTGGGCATTTCCTTGCCATTGTTTCAAACACATAGGAGCTAGGTTTAAAGTGTACACTGCAAAAATGATCAGTATGACAAGATGTATCCTCTCTGAATATTGAAAAAAACTAACCACTTGTTTTGCAGTTGTTGCCCCAGAAATATCATTTGTTTTCCCAAATTTTAGCACTTGTTGGCTGTTTTTACGAAAACTACAAGAGCTAGGTTAAAAGTGTAAATAGCAAAAAGATTCAATACAGCAAGATGTATCTACCCTGTAAATTGGAGGAAAATCTCTGACCTGTTTGGGAGTCATTGTCCCCAAAATCATAATATTTTTTGCACTTTTTGGCTGTCTTGAAATATATAGGAGATAGGTTAAAAATGTGAAATGCAAAAATAATCTGCACAAAGAGATCTATAATCCCTGTAAAATAAAAAAAAAATCTGATGTCAGACCTGTTTTAGAGTTATTGGCCATGAAATATAGGTTTTTCCAATTTTTCAATTTTTTGCTATTATTTTTAAAACTAGACGATCTAGGTTAAAAGTGTAAAAGGCATATCAAGAACTATCTTCTCTGATATTTTTGACAACCTGTTTTGGAGTTTTTGCCCTTGAAATGTTGAATTTTACTGGTTTTTTTTTTGCAGTTTTGTCTGTTATCTAAAATCCTACGGGAGCTAGATTAGACATTTAAATTGCAAAACAACGATCAGCAACTCAAAAAGTAACTAAAGAATGTGCATATAAAAGTCCTTACTTGCAAACTGGTAATTTTTTTCACCAGTTGGGCCATACAGGTGTGCCTCTTGTTTCAACTATTCTTCTTCATTAATCACTTTAATTTTCATTTGAAAATTTAATACTAAGTACATGTTTTCAACTTCACCTACAATTAAGGAATTCCTACATTGTTTTCAGAAATGCAAATACTGAATTTTATTCATTTGAATTGCTTTTGTGGAATCATCTTTTTAAGGAAGGGTTAGAACAACACCTAAAAAAAGAAAATGCATCATGCCAAAAGGTATCCAATTAGAAAAGCTTTATAACTTTATTGCTGATTAGATTTGAATTCTTTGTGGACAATTTTGTATTTGAAACATTTCAGAATCAGAATTGACTAAAATGGAGACACAAAGTACTGGTCCCCAGTCTGATCATAGTGACAATAATTGGAACCAGGACACAGAAAAGTCAAGCAATGATACAGAAATGGATGATCAGAATACACAGTTACAAGTTGATGAGAGTGATAAACAAGGACAGAAAGAGAAAGGTATTCATACTATTGTGTAAACAGCTTCTTCAATATGTGCAAGAATGACTTTAGTACATAGTGATAGTGCTTAATTGCTTTTCATTTTCTTGTTTCATATAATATCCTATATCATATCACCAACATTATTCTGGACGATTTGTCACAACATTTGACATTCTCTGTAAGAGCTGTTACAGATTTAACGCATGGGAATGGGAGGTACTCAAATTAATAAAATGTGGATGATTGCATTTTCTTCAGAATTTTGTAAGAATCTATACTATTAAATGAGAAGACCTCATTTTGTGTTTCGCTTCTCTTCCTTCCACAATAAATAAATCATCATGCCTCTGTGTCCTATAGGTACCATGCATAGCCGCATTTGTCATCCTCCCTTATGATTATTCCGTTTGGGTTATTTTGGGAGGAAAACGAAAATAAAGGCGTCCGGAGATAGTTTCCGTCATCGGACAGACTTTTAACTTAACTTCCGTTTAGGACTGTTTATAAATTACACATAATATTTTCATAGGTACTTGCGGACAGAACAATTATTTTCGTGTGTTTCTGTATACTATGAACAAACATATACTATAAATAAAGTGTATTTGCTATTTACTATCAATTACAAGTTTACTATCCACGGCGGTCATTGATATATTAAATAGAGTCTCTATTATAATATATCAGTGACCGCCGTGGATAGTATACTAGGAATTGATATTAGATAGCAAATACACTTTATTTATAGTATATGTTTGTTCATAGTATACAGAAAAACGCGAAAATAATTGAAATTAATAGAAAACCAAAAATAACGGATTTTGGAAAAAAGGGGGAGGACTAAAAACAAATTGTCCTGTCCCCAAGTACCTATGACTTTTGATACCTTTCCTAAAATTATCCAGTCATAAAATCATTTACAAAAATTCTTCCTACAACAGTTTACATACTTTCAACCATGCTCTAAATGCCCGCGATTTCGCGGGTGTGTTCTAGTTATATGTAAAATGAAATCATATATTATTGGTGATTGGGGTCTAGAAAAAGTGTCTCCCATCCCCATGTGTTTAAATCTGGGACAGCCCTAAAGGTAGTATTGAGATATATTCCATTAAAAAGATTTTTTGCCGATTCCTTCAAACAAGAGTTTTAAACATTTTTGAAATTATTAAATGTTTTTATTCAGTTGTGAAACAAAATATTTATAGGTCTGGAAAAATAAAGAAAGGAGGTACTCATTATTGAGATATCAACTGAACAACACAAAAACGTAAAAAAGATAGCTATACGGCTGGTCAACTACTACAATAGACAAGTATCTATACCATACATATATGTATTTCTTTTTTGATTGACATAGGTCAATCATCCTTGTCTAATAGTTGCTGACTTTGATTTTCAATATTCTTATTTGAAATGAAAGTGATTTCCTCAGAACTTAAAAACATGTATCTAGCATGTCTAGAGTAGCTGATCATTGCAGGCATAAATTAGCTTTTAGTTTCTTGAATTGATATTAATGTTATCAATTAATATGAAGATTTATGGCATTAGTTAAGTACAGTTAAAATAAATATAAAAATAAGAAGATGTGGTATGATTGCCAATAAGACAACACTCAACCAGAGACCAAATGACATAGAAGTTAAAACAACTATAGGTCACCATACAGCCTTCAACAATGAGCAACACCCATACCGTATAGTCAGAGACTGTTTACTTTCCATTTGGAAATAAATGCATGCACTTATAAATTGCAATCCAAATTTTTTACTGCATAACAGCTCAGATTCTACATTGACTATGCATGGTTAAGAATTAAATCTATTAAACATTGTTAAAACATAAAATTCTAAACATATGAATTCAAAGCATTTTATTTTAGGAATGATTTTGCCTTTAAATTTTTTTTGAAATTCATATATAATGCAGCTTTCCTTTTATCTTCACCACTCAAAATCACACCATCATATCATACATGTCATATGCATATGCTTTCAAGTTCAACTTTAAAGTTTTCATATTTTAAAGTACATGAGACTTGCAGATGTTGATGAATTAAAGCTTCAGAAATATTTGAAATGAAATCAGAGGTCAAATTTACAGTATAAAAAATTCAAAACATATTTTAAACCTTTTTACATGTTAAGTCGCTTGGGCACTTCATTGAGTAAATAAGCAATGCTTTGACAATAAATAGTCAGTTTTTAGAGGACAAACCATCACTTATAAGGAATATATGGTAATAGAAGGAAACAATTATTTAAGATATTATTTTTTTCGAGCGTAAGGAGATTTCACCTCCCTGGTAAGAGATAGGTGTTCAGAGCGAAGTATCCAAATAATTAAAAAAATATTGGGGAAATTCAAAGTGACATATGGAGAGATTTTTTGGAATAAAAATCCATATACAAAAATTAAACTTCACTTGCATAATATGAAAAATGGGAATATTAAAATCGGTTAAATGAAATTATTTTCTATAGGCTGACAATGATCACAAAACAAGACCTCTTCATGCAATAAGTAACCTATCCTTAAGCAAGAAAATAAAAAACTGTTAGGGACCAACTAAAATATCAACAGTCATGAAAAACAGACAATACCATGACAAATGAAGACTGTGACAACATTCCTCAAAATACTAAACAAAACACTAAAAGATAAAGCAACAAGAATCCCCCCTAAAAACCAGGAAGAACTGAATTACTCTAAAAAGATAAACAGTTTCTGCTGCAATAGTGGAAGTTGTTGTAATGATCCTGACAACAAACATCTGATCTCCTGCAACGTATTTTCCGCAACAGATTTAATTAAGTAATTCAAAGAAAATGTGAAACCTATAAGGGAGATAATTTAAATCATAAAATAACAGCCAAGAAAATTACAAATTGACTAAAGATTTAATACGGAGTATATATCTTCCAATTGATACGATATTCCCGGGCTTGTATTTCCTATCAGGATTTCCTTGATGGAAGATTGCTGCTCACAAGAAAGCTATTAAACCAAGAGTTCTAAATGGTGAAGTTGAAATCATCCCTTCGAAAATTTTACGGACGCCATCACGAGTTGGTTGACCGTTATGGAATAACCGTTTCATAGATGATATCAGATATGTTCCTTATGTCGTAACTACAATACACTTCCCTTTTCACGAATGTGACCTACTGAATTAGACTACTTACCGGATTTGTAATTACTTATATATAATTAAGCAACACGATGGGTGCCACATTTGGAGCAGGATCTGCTTACCCTTTAGGAGCACCTGAGATCACCCCCACTTTTTGGTGGGGTTCGTGTTGCTTAGTCTTTAGTTTTCTATGTTGTGTCATCTGTACTATTATTTGTCTGTTTGTCTTTTTATTTTTGGCCATGGCGTTGTCAGTTTGTTTTCGATCTATGAGTTTGACTTTCCTTCTGGTATCTTTCGTCCCTCTTTTAATGAAAGACAGATATCAAATACAAAACTTAATCTGATAAATAGAAAAGAAATCTTTTATCTACTGCATTATGTAATTTGTGTCAGTTTAAATATAACTTTTGAGATTATCTGATAATGTTGCAAAATCCATTTCAGAAGAAAACACACATTATTTACATCAATAATGACTAGACAGTGTTTCAATTTTCAGGTCATAAATTCTAGGACTGATGTCATCAAATTAAAGTAATCTGCATTCTGGATGTCCTTTCCATGCAATTTTGATAGTTTGATTTGAAGAGAGATAAAAGTTCTGTAAATTGATATTAGGGCTTTGATACATGTGTTAGCTTAACAGATTGTTGTTGTTTTGTTTTAACATTTAAGGAATGATTTTGTCTTTAAATTTTTTTTTTGAAATTCATCCCTTCCCTACAGAGTTTACACAGATAAAGACCAGAAAACCAGATGGTGTGGTGAATTTATCAAATTTACACAGAATTGGAATTAAAAGAAGTTCTGGACCAGATATTGCATAAGTAGCAACCAAAAGAAGAAAAGGTTTCCTCTCAACTTTGAAAACTTGATTTCTTTGTTCGACTGTCACTTTTTGTTTGTTCTTATAGGTTGCACTTTGTAAATACAGCTGTTTCTCAAACCAGGCCTCTTTTGGGGAGATATTTAATATTCATAGGTATGTTAATTTGTTAACGTACTGGTTCCAATTGATGATCTCTGTGTTTCATCTCATAGAGACATCACTTGGGAATGTAACCAGTATAGAAAAACATGGTAGCGGCTAAATTTTAATTCTTAGGAGGTCCAAAAATGGAGGTAAGGGTAGTATAGAATTTTAGTATAAGTTTAAACTCTTAGAAGTTCAGGGCATATAAATGTTGAAAATATGCCGCACAGCCCTATATTTTGACCTTTGAATAAAATAGTAGTGCATATAAACTTTCCGTTCTGGGATATCATTTTTCACGAAACTTCATAGTAAAAGTGTCACAGTTTTAACCGCAAAGGGAGTTCCTATGGGAAATTGCATTGTCTGTATTTACAGAATTGCAACCTATATAGGGTTAAAAAATAGAACATACAGAATTTCACAAAATCTGGTTTATCTCAGAGATTTTAAAGAATTTAACTCAAATATGAAGTTTTATAAATATTTCATGAAGATTGAGAAAATCCTGGGCCTTAACTATGATGACTCAGCATAAATTCACAGTTTACAGTATGCTTGGTTTACTTAAAGCCCTGAATTCAAAATAAATTCATAATATATGCCTATTTGTAATTTAAATTGTTTAGAAGTGCTTATATTTACTCTTCGCAGTAATTGCAACTCATTGATCCTTCCTAAATATTTTTGTGGGGTGTTTTTTTCCTGTCGATAACCCAAAAGTAAGCCGTAACGCCTAAATGTGCTTTTTTGTGACTGCGGCATACAAAAGTACAAGCTAGAATTACAAAAAGACCTCAATAAAACTTACAATAGTGTGTTCTATCCTAAATATGTAGTAAATATTCCACATTGCTTGAAACAGGGAAAAAAATTTGGAATTATGAGGCCCCAGGGGCAAAA